TTTTCTTATAAAGTTTTATTATCAATTTGAGACATAGATGAAGACGTATTTTAGTTAGTTATTGGTAAGAAATAAGGTTTATGACAAGTGTGAAATATTATTATTTTTTCTTAATATGAAACTACTGGGCATAAATAGTATAGGTTTGGTAATACTCCCACTAGTTCTATACATGGACCTATTGAGTAACAATAGTTCCATGTGGAACCAGCTACATGGTACTGCTGGGAATAAAGTACTAATGTCTCGATTACACTTGGTTCTCTAGCCTGTATTCGGGTGCACGAAACCCATTACTCGAATTTGGGCACCCGAAGCAATATTTCCACTGGAATACCGGCTGCAAGACGGTGTCGGGTAACCAACGTATAAGACGTATCGTAAAAAAAATAAAGCAAAAAATTTCGTCCAAAAAAAAAACAATTTAAGGGTGGACCACCATTAACATTTAGGGGGATGAAAAATAGATGTTGTCCGATTCTCAGACCTACTGAATATACATTAAAAATTTCACGAAAATCGGTCAAGCCGTTTCGGTGTAGTTCAATTACGCACACCGTGACACGAGAATTTTATATATTAGATTAATTATTAACTATAGTCTATTCACTTTGGCTTGAGACAAAATGTAAACGAAGAATCTGCGGTTCTTAAACTTTTATAATGTCAGAAAGTACCTACTAGTCAATGATTAGGTATTATTTATGTAACCTATATTAAAATTATAATGAATTCTGTCTTGATGATAAATATATAAAAGAATGTGTATTTCAAATGAAACCAGCATAATACTTTGCAAATAATATTTATTCACTGTCTGACAACTCACTGGATGCACTGCCACCAACTTTAATAATAAATTTATTCACATCATCAACAATACCATTCAATTTCAGCATTTTCTGCTCTTCTTTAATGACATGGTCAATGCACCGTTTCCACGATTCAGCTGTGATTGATTGTAAGGCATCGGCTAATTTTTAATTTCAGTCATCTTAAATGTTTTATTATTTTTACCAACATATCCCTTGACTTGTGCCCATATTTTATATTATATTTAGTGTATATTTATAGGTGTACCTGAAAAGTATGTGATAGTGAAACTTTTTTATAAAATTATGTTTTAAGGAACAGGGGATGTAATTACCCTCGGTCTGATAAGACCTAGTCCTATAATGTACTGTATCCCTAGCACGAACCAATATCGAATTCGTATCGTTTTCGAGTCCGAAATGCCAATGTCAAATTTTGTATGGAAACTTGAACAGCAGTGGCACAAAGTACGTAACGAGAACTAAAAATCAGTACACATTTGACAATGACATTTTGGACTCGCAAACGATACGAATTCGATATTAGTTCGTGCTAGGAGTACTGATCTCTTAATGAACAAATATCAAAATCATCTATTCCCAAAATGACTGAATTTATAAATGTCTTTGTTATGACGGAAACAAAACTGTCAAATTCATGTACAGTCAGTAACACTATTTTTAATAACGAATATTTTGTAAGTGTTTTAATTTCCTTTTGAAAATTATTTTCTACAATAACGTGAATCACTTTATTTCAAATCTACTCTACCTATTAGCATGGGTTGAAAAGTCATGAAGGAAGCAGTTGTTCCGTATTCATAGGAAGCTTGCGAGGAGCGGATCTTATGTTTATTCTTAAGCGGGCTACTGACATCCCTGCCGCAGGGGCAACCCTGGGTGTAATAGTGGGGATGACCCTTAATTGTGATGTGTGTAGGCAAGCTGGGGCAATTTTCTAAATTGGCCCTGTGGGGCAGGGGCGCGAGACACCCCTTGGTTCCTAGATTGTCCCTGCCGCCCTGCACGTTCCCGCGTGTGTAGCGCGGTTGGGGCAATGTCTCAATCAGTTGCTTTGTAACTGTCATACGGAGCGCACGTATTTCTATCAAGATGGCGGCAGATATCATAATTAGCATGAAGTTTGGTCTCGAGGTCCCACATGGGGGATAAAAAAAAGGACGGGTTGCACTCCGGGAGTGCCGGCAGAAGTGAAAACTTGAATATTAACGTTGTGCATTTTTGATATTTTGGAATGGTTAGGGAATAATTTTGCACGAATTGCTTTAATTATCAGTATAAAAGTACTATCATGTATGTGGTAGAATACAATATTTATTTATTACGCTATCGTACAACAACATTTTTTTTTGCGCTAACACCATAGAAAGAGTCAAGGCCCTACCTACCGATCTTTTGATTATACTGGAGCCATTATCAACGCGTGTGTTAAGCTAAACACTGAATAGCAGGCGTGTGTAGAGACAAGCCGATATTGCCCCGACGGTCGTGCGGCCTAGAATGGCCCTGTTCAGTGTTCGGGCTAGGGTTGCAACGATATATCGGAATATCGATAATATCGATAATATCGAGACCAAAATATCGATATTTATATCGATATTTAAAATTCACTGATATCGATAATATCGATATCGGAAATTCCAAAATATCGATATTTCGTAGACTAAATTTAAACACAATAATATCAATTAATTTCCCTGCTATGACTATCTAAATTGAATAATATCGAAATAACTATTGCTTTGAAATCGCAAGAGTTTATAGATGTATTAAAAAAATCTTGAACCCCAAGAAATATACTAAATTGGTGTGGATTCTGGCATGACTCTCTAAACCTAAAATTAAATTTGACAACAGTGTATCCTTGTCATTCTCTATACAGAATGACAAGGAGAGACTGATGTTAAATTTAGTTTTAAGTTTAGATAATCATGCCAGAATCGATACCAACGTATATAGGTATAATCGTATACCTAATGGTAACTCATGCACTTAAATAAAATCCTTGCCTCTCTTTCTAGATAATTGTCAACTACTGATTAATTGAAATTAAATATCATTGTAATATAACACAAAATAAAATTAAGAATCTTATACAAATCGTAAATTTTTTAAGCTCGCCAAGTCAAGAAAGTAAGATAGGTATAGTAATTTTGGAAGCTTTGGGCTTACCCTATTCTGAAGCCATGGGCACGCCCCTGATGTGTGGGAGACTAAGCAATTTGCGTATTTGATGTGCGCTAATAAACCGACATAGCTTGGAAAAGCACGAATGTAGTGAAAACTTAGCGAAGGCATTCGCAAATGTCGTCCCACATATGCGGGATGGCGCATTCGTGCTAACAAATGTGAGTGATTTGATCAGGATAATAATTTAAATTTTTTGGTTTCCTGTCGTGGCTGAAACACTAACCGTGCGAGCCAATAAAAAAAATCCTGCTTGGCGCGATTTCATCAAGCGTGTTTAAAGAAAAAGCTGGCTCAATGCATTTTGCGAGAAACTCGCCAACAAACATATGAATGAGTCACACTCACCCCGTATTCTAAAGTCAATAAAAAGAAAGAAAAAAATATCGATATATCGATAATATCGAGTTAAAATGGTCGATATATCGGATATCGATATTTTCCTGACTTCGATATAAATATCGATATAATATCGATATTTCAAAAGACTTTGCATCCCTAGTTCGGGCGTATGTTGAGCTTAACACACGCGTAAATGATGATCCCAGTGTTATCAAAAAATATGTTACCGTAAAAAAGGAAATACTAGGTGAAGAATTGGCAACATAAAGAAATGTATTGTAAATTAGTATTGTTTATGATTAGAAAAAAATCCACGCGGACCTGGCAGCAGACGGGACTCGAACCCGCACCCTTCGCTATCCGGGCGAATGCACTGATCAATTATGCTGCCGCGGCCCTAACGGCCTTATCGAATTCTTTATAGCCTTTCTTAAGCTACAAGGCAGCGCCATCTCTTCGCATTATATGTAACCATTGTTTGACATTGTGGGTTACCTACAATGCGAAGAGATGGCGCTGCCTTGCAGCTTAAGGCTAGGAAAATTTCGACGCGGCTAATAGGGCCGTGGTAGCATAATGGTCAGTGCATTCGCCCGGATAGCGAAGGATGCGGGTTCGAGTCCCGCCCGCTGCCTGGTCCGCGTGGATTTTTTTCTAATAAACTTTTCTTTAGATTTAAACATCTAGCAGTTAAATGCTTAAAAAATAAATAAAATCATAAAAAACTATTTCTATTTTTCTAGTAATATTTTCTTTAGATTCAAACATCGAGCAGTCACATAGTTAAAAAATAAAAATTAATTAAAAGAATATATAAATAATGTTTGGTCTTTTCATCCCACATTTATGTGAGGCCGGTCTTTATATACTTCGATCATTCGTGTCCAAACTTCATGCTCATTATGATCTGCCGCCATCTTGATCGAAATACGTGCGCTGCGTGTGATAGCTACTAACCGACTGGTTGAGAAATTGGCCCAATCGCGCTACACACGCGGCAACGTGCAGGGCGGTTGGGACAATCTAGTGAGCAAGGGTGGTCGCGCGCTCCTGCCACCCTGCCGCAGGCCCGATTTAGATAATTGCCCCAATTTGCCTACACACATCACAATTTAGGAGGCAATTAAGGGTCATCCCCACTCTTATGGTAGCCATACACACTACGAGAAATCGTTACGATCAGACTGTACAGTTCGAACGGTACCGATAAATCGTAGCGTGTATGTTATAAAACTGCACAGTTTCCTACGATTTTTGAAGACTGCAGTCGAACGGAGAAATACGAAAATTTCAATCGTTTTAAGATTCAGAAAAGAGATCGGTTTTCTCATATTGTTTTTGATTTGTATGTATGTTTGATCACAAATGTACCTTTTCTGTCAGACAAGAATTTCCTGTATTTTAAAACAAATACGTTTAGAAAATCAGTCATATTGGGAAAAGGTCAATTTGATTTTAAATATTCTTATATTATGCTGACCTCACAATGAAGAAATTTTCTTCATAATGAGCTCAGCACAATATAATCGGTCAAAATAGACCAGAGGAATGTGTTGAGCCACATGCGCCGTGACTCAGGATGCAGCCTAATATTATGAATTAAATTCCTGAGGTATGGTAGATCACCAAATAAAAGTAAATATATGTGAAAAAAGAACTTTATTTGATAATATTTGGGTAGTTTCCACTTTTTCTTAAGCCTTTGAACTTTCGCTGGCTGCTAACAGAGCTTCATCACCAGCACAGGCAAACCTGCTGCATGGCTGCCATCGCTAGAAGTCCCGCCACCGACACCAGATGCAGAACAACCTGTACAACATTCAGGCATCAATAACTTGATCTTCTCAACTGTACGATGAGACTCTCTTAACACATTATTACTGTGACCTAACTGTTGACTAGCTCCTGTACCCTTCAAATTATGACCAGGCTGTATTCCGGACAGAGTTTCGAAACAGTCCGCTTTACAGGGAGCATTCCACACGCAAGGCGGTGGTGGTTGCCAGTGCATACATCCTGGTCTTGTACAAGGTTCTTCTTTATGAACTGGTTTCACAGTTTTCCGAATACGACCTCCCGGTCCTACTACAACATTGCTTGGAGCCGATTCCTTACTCTCAAAACGCTTTAAAATAGTAGCAATTGTTTTTTCATCGAACTCAAGCAGGGACGACTGAGTATATGCTTTACTAGAATTACTTGTGCAAGAACCCTTACATACGTCTGGACTATACAGAGGTTTAGCTACATTGACAGACGCAAAAGCAGAGCTTCGTCTAGGAACTTCGGCTGTAACAAGACACTTACAGCATTTGCCTCCTTTATCCGATGCCACGTCTGGTAAGATTCCTTTCAGTTCACACACAATGAACCTTTTACCACCACTGGAGCCAGAATCTGCAACACCAGACCCACCACCACTTTGTGCACTTAAGTGTGCTGCAAAAGGCGCAGGATCTGCGAGACCTCGGGCTCGAGCTAGCTGACTGGGGGCACAGACTGGATCCGGTAACACCAAACAGGTTGGCTCGCCGCCACAACCAGTTCGTCGACAATCGTGCTGAAGTCCATTTCGCTTGATACAATGGCAGCTATAATACATGACCCCTCCACGCAGCTCACGGCTCTTTGTTCTTTTCAGCTGGTTTTCTTTTTCATCCTTTTTTTCCGCACCACCCTCCTCCGCTTTGGAAGTACTCTCAAAAGCTTTTCCTTTCTGAAATAAAAGCGGAAACTTTACATATGTACTATTTTCAACCTGCCACGGTCCATCAAGTTAGTGAGCAAATATTACCAAGAGCTAGCGAACGATCAGAGCGTTGCATGCTACCACTGCGATACCAAGTCGAAATCACTGAATCGCGTGACGTAGGTCTTGCCAGGAGGTGGGCGACGAACACACGGAGGGCACGGTGGCGGACACGGCTTAGAACAGCAGGGACCCGATCGGCACAAGTACCGAATCGAACCCTGCTGAAAGAACTGGCAATCTTGAAGTCCATTGCGCTTGAAAGCAGACCGTGGCAGGCACTGGAGCTGAGTATTATATTTTATTGATTAGAACGTGATATTTTATTTTTTATAGATTAGGTACTTTAGTTAGGTTAGTAAAAATGTCATATGTACCGGTGGACCGCAGTCTTCATATTTGTAACATACCATAGGGCCGCATGGGGAACACCTAAAAAAAAGAAGTTATTTATGTTGCATTTACTTATTCTGTAGTTTTTGGTAGCATGCCTAGCCGTACACCAAATGCCAATCGAAAATTTTGCCATGTTTCGTGACTAATTTTCTCTAATTTATAAATTTAATAAAACTGCAATGCAAAATGCCAGTGCTTTGCTACGAAACATAATCAGCAGTACAACCTAGGGTTATCCAGATACTTACATAATGTAGGAGATGGTGTCGCAGTCTTTTACCGAAGATCTTCAAAATTAAATGGAGGAGGAGGTCTTTTTATTATTATCTTTATTTTTGCTTAAACAATCTATAAAATGTTTAACTATTGCATAACACTTGAAAAATTTGGAATTTGGGAAAAATTGTTTTTTTTTTACAAATTTACAAAATTTAATACATCTACACTAGTCAAAATCGAAATATCTTCTGTCAATCAGTAATTTTTTTTGAGGGGTTCTTTTTTTATCTTCTAAATTTAAATTTATGCTAGTGGACAGTTCACTTAATAATAAATCAATGCTATTAAGCTTCCTCCCCATTATGCGATTTTTACTTCGTGCTTTTAAGTATCGTTTCCTAGTTTCGCATCATCCTACATATCGAGCTTAGTGCTTCAGCATGAGGATTGGTGAGGTGCGTCATGCAAGCCACTCTGGCTGGTTCACAGAGTGGAGCTGGTAATATCTGGCAGCAAGGCGACGACTGGCAGCCTGTGCGGCGGCAGTCATACTGAAGACCGTTGCGTCGGAGGCAGAAGCAGTCAGTATAAAGAATACTTCCTTTTAGTTCACGGCTTTTGCATGATTTTAAGGTCTTTGAGGGTATGCAGCAACAATTTTTACCCATTGCTAGTTTTCTGAAAATTTCCATTCAATTATTCAATAGTTTTTTTCAGTGAACGAAGATTTTTAACAGAGATAACGGTTATAGCCGCTCTAATTGAAGCGCCCGTCTGGCATAGTATTCTCAACCTTATAGAAGACAGTAAAATAACACTACCTTGTGGTAGTGTTGTATTTCTGTGGGTGAGTAAGGTTCCAGGGCTTCATGGGGTAAGGGATTGGGTCAGGGTAGGCAAGGGTAGCCTGCGGCCGGTGGCTTGGTTGATTCCCAGTAAGGGTCCCATGCCGCCACCGCTGGCAAGGAGGGCACATCCCGGAGTTTTAGTGGGTAGGCAGCCCCACCGCGAGCAGCCACTGAGCCAGCCCTAGGGGGTTGTCTGAGTGAGCGGGAGGTGGAGGGAAGAGTCCTACATAACCCCGACGCCTACCCAGCGGCGGGGAGTGCGCAACGCATTTCTCCGGGTCAAAAAAAGGGGTAGGCCAGGGTGCGAGTGAAATTTTTGGTATCGTAAGCGTCTATGGGCTATGGAGATCGCTTAGCATCAGGCGGGTCTTTAACTTGTTTCGCACCCTTTTAACATAAAATTACATAATAATTTGTGACAGGGTTTAAAATATAGGATACTTCTATTTAATTTTAAGGGTTGATTTTTGACGTGACAACGTCTTAAATTAGGTTGCGGCTGGGAGTCACTTATGAAAAAGTGTAACGCTCGGTAACGTTACGATGAGTTTAAGTTTACATGTACAATGTTTTAGTAAACAAAATATATTTCTATAGTTAAAATTTGTGCAATTCTTATTTTCATTCAATTCCTTGTTCCTATTGTGCAATTTAATTATATTCATATCAATAAATATTCTACCGAGAAAAAGACGTTGTCACGTAAAATCTTCGCCCGTAAAACCGACTTTACAGGCAACCATTTTTTTTTTTCGTCATTTTTTTGTTGTTGTTACCAAATACCCAGGTACCTATGCAGGTTCTATGCATGGGTGATGCAAGCGCAAGGTTTCTCAATAACTATTATTTAGCAATTATTGTATTACGTTTTCTCTGTAATTTTTCTAAGTGATATTGTGATGGTCTACCTTCTACTCTATGTCAAAAAATGTTAATTTCACTCTTAGGTTAGTGTTATTCAATAAAAGTACTCTTTTTATCATGCCTCAATTTTTTTTTATAATGATCTACGACGAGTACTTATGTAATATAATAAGATCAAATATTGAAAGAAATAACTAAACAGCATTTCTAGTCTGTAAATACAGGTGTATTTATCGCTTGTACGAGTATGTAAAAGAAAATGTTTTACATACGTATTGTATCGTAAAAAAGATTTACATACCTTGTTTATTTTATTATTATTTTCTAAAAATAAATTCACTTAAAATTTTGATATGTTCTTTCGAGAACTTTTACCTAAATAATGTAATTTTGTTTGTATTAATCTAGATGGTCATGCTGTAATGTAATATCTTGCTTCCTCTCATGTTCCTGTTATGGCCTTTGCCTCCTAGATTATATTTTTAACAGTAATATCTACTTAAAATTGCTTTACAACTTCAAATTATTTTCAAACGTAGTATAGAATTCATTGGGGAATAGGTATATTAAGGTCTACTTTTAGTGCGTTCCACGTGGTGATCAAATTATAGTAGTGTAACTATATAAAAAAATATAAAAAATATAAAAATATAAAAAAAATTGTTTTGATAAATTATTAATTAATAAAAAAAACTTTCCTTCTGTAAGAGAAGTAAGTAGTTACAATAATAATTGCTCTCATTTAGTTAAAAAACCGCGAGTGCGACTCGGACTCGCGCCCGAAGGGTTCCATACTATGCTGTAGTACCTAGCTTCCTCTCATATAATGTTCGTAATATTATGACCTATGCTTCCTAGATTATATATAAATGTACTGACGTTGATATAATTATATTGACGTTGTAACAACATACTGATTTGTAAATTTTGTTACATTAGACTTTTAATGTTGTGGAGTTTTTTTCGCTCGTTTTTCTCCGCAGCTAAAAAATATGTCCATAACGAGAGTTGGGAAAAAAAATTTAGACGATTCAAAAGAGTTGTACTATACATCCAATTTGAATAAATATATATTGATTTATGATATGTTTTATTTACACGCTAATAAGAAGAGAGCATGTTATAATCCCTACCTTTAAGCTGCTTTAGTATTCATACTTGCCTACACGCGTGTTATAAATAGATTTATATATATAAATAGGTAACAACGAGAAAATTTAACATTTCAGTATCATAAAGATATCATAAATCAATGTTAGAAAAACCATTGAAAGCAGCCGGCTAATATTTCCTTCTATTGTAATATTTTATTATGCCTCTGAAAAAAGGCTTTGAATATCATCTTTCATGTGAGTGAGTTCTATTTGGTGTCAACTGATTACAAAGTTGATTGTTGGAGTTTAGCAAGCACAATATTTTAATTATTTTATATTTTTTTCATACAAATACAAAAACAAATAAGACAAAACAATACCGTTCAAACCGTTATAAGAAATATGTAGACAGGTTCATTTCGTATTCTACACTTTAATATTCATAGACATAAATGATGGGGGTGGCATATCTACTTTTACGGAAAAAATGCACAAAATCTTTATATTTGATAGAGATTAAAAAAAAACAAAAAAACATGCAGACTATGTGAATCTGTGTGGACGATGATCGAGAAATATGAATGAGAATGAAAATCACACTATCTATCCAATGGGACGGATAATGTGAAGTTATACTTCTTTAGGCGCGTTATGAAAAAATGATGAGAGTGAAATTTTAAGATGCGCGCGCATCACTGTAACACAAAATTTTAACAGCATGAAGTTGGTCGCTAAGCGACCAACTTCATGCGTTACTTTTGTGTTTACCGCACATTAAGAAAATCTACCAACAAAATAGAAATAGAATCTCTATTTAGTGGGTGCTAACGACTGCATTGTGAAGGCCTATCAAAAGTATTTATTAATCTGGAACAACGGAACCAAAGCGCGATTCAGGAGACTACAGCGCCATCTCTTGACCATTGGTGTAGTAGAATCAAAAACCACATCTTTATTTTTTGTAATAAAGTAACAGTTATAGGTATTCATATTTATAATATTTATCCACATGTTTCTAGTTTGTATATTCGGAATACGTGTTTGAGTTTCATACAAGTGCAAATCACAATATGTTCTAATAAATTATATTCAGTAGCGATTTTAATTGAATATTTTGATTATTTATTTATTTTTTCAAATTAAAACTGAACTTTATTGACTGTGTCCTTTTCCAGACTTTTTATTAATTTATTGTAATTAATTATTTGCATGCAATTAAAAACTAATTTTAAACGATGCCAAAGAAGGATAACTTCTCACGCGCCTACATAAGTACACGCACCCATTTTTAATTTAAACTTAAAGCTTTAAATCAATTGATTCAAATAGAATAATCACTAGAATTATTCTATGTTAATGAATAGGAAACCACGGAGTTTCTAATTAGAAGTCAATGAAAATTATTTTTAATGTACTAGACAATACTTTCAACGGTACTTTATTTTCTTTAAATTTTCATTTTTGTTCAACGTTGGTACTTGGAAGTGTACCTACCCAACGTATTACTATTGGCAGCCAAATTGCAAATATAATCAAACCCCTTTCTTTTTCCCGCCAATTTTCGTTACGGCTTAATTTTGTACCGAACTGCACATATATAAAAAATACAGTCAGATATATTTTGGGCATGAATTCAGGGAAAGGAAATGCTTGTGCCAAATATATTATCTTACCAATGACCGGAAGGTTTCCGGTACATATACGCAATTACAACTCAATTAAAAAGTGTTACACAGTCTGAATCAGCATCGGAATCCCATAATAATATGGATTCATAAGTTGGATATTGATAATGTAATAGGCATTCCCCAAAACCATGATATTCATATTATTATGAATCTACATTTTGATTCAGACGGTGTAATGCCAGCCTTATTAATAAAAGTCTGATTATGCGTAAACGCCTTAATGTCTTCTGGCGGGCTGGTACTGGCTGTTTTATTGATTCGTATTTATGACAAAAATTTTCCTCTTCGAATTTTCCTGAAATGTTCTTTGTGGAACTGGCAGCTCTTTTCTTTCTAATTAAAAGCAAATTTATATATTTTCTATATTCAAACATAAACCGAGGTGATGTAAGAAAGATGGTGCAGTTATGTGGTCAGTACAATCAAATCCTTTGCGTGAAACATATATATATTATTTCAAAAACTTCAAAAAAAATTATAAATCCGTCAACCTTTTTCCACAAAGTTAATACTTCGATATTTTTGGTACCTACACGTACTCTCAAACCCAGAAATCAAAATGTAAGTGTCGCACGGGAAAGGCGACCCACGTATTTAGAAGTTGCTATTGCTAAAGTTTGATCATTTTTTTTTTCAGGTGTTGCGGACCTTGCGGTGGATGCGGCGGTGGCTGCTGCGGTGGATGTTGCTGTCCCTGCATTACTATCTACACGTGCTGCACGAAGATCTGCTAGCGATGCGCG